TATGGCGAGGAAATTCAACTATGAATTTTTTACAAAATGAGGCAAGATATTTTAAAGGTGGTTACAAGCATAGGATTTTTTTATCGATCATCTAATCTCATCCAAGCTGTTTGCGAATGGAATCGAGAGCAATTATAACAGCTAGCAGTGATTTGAATCCCATTCATTGGTACTGACGATTTCTATAAGTTTACTCATGGAAGTGGACCAACCAAATCATCTCACCTGGGCGGATTCCCGTGGGCCTTACTTTCTGGCAAAAAACTGCAATTTCATGAAAGTTCAATCGCGTATTTGCATAAAAATTTGGTGAGGGTCACTTTCTGGACTTATGTTTCTCCAGCAATTGAGTGATCATGCCCATATCGTTAAGATTAGCATACAGCGTTGAATAATTTCAAGCGCCTCTAATAGAATAAACCAATAAGAACTTTTACAGGTATTGCCTCCTTATGGAAATGTCGTATGTGGCGTTGTTCGGCAACTTTTACTATCAATCGTACGTGAAGGGAGGAGGAAAGAAATTCATTGCTGAAAAGTCAAAGAAACAGGAGTGAACTACATAATAACATTGCTTAGGATATAAAAATTGCATAACAATGACGGAACAATTGAAAGTTAAAGTTTGTTTGCTATCTATCTCAGAGTTTTTTTTTTTGACAGCAGCTTCATCACGTTCGGGTCCTTCAGTCCTCGTTGAGGATTACACTCTTCTGTACAAGCTTTTTATCATCTTTTCACTGCATTAGCTCTTCTACATTGAATCTTCTTTCTTTATGTGCATGAAAAAAAACTTGTTGAAGAATTTATTATAACCAATCCTGGCTGAACTTTTTTGACAAATCGATCATTGTTGGCGATGGACAACAAAGAAGAATGATTTATACATGTGAAAACTTTCATCGTGATTTATCGAGAGTGCACTAGAAGGTCAAATATCAGAAGTGAAAAGTTTTTGAACAGTTTATTTGATGTTTTTTCTATTCTCGTAGTGTTTCTGATCAATAAGTTGAAATTCGTTCTACCAGAAATGTTATTACTTCTTTTTAGCTGGAATTTCTTTCATATGTCAAAAAGAGAAACTGCTCTTCACTCAAAATGGCACATTTTCAGATTATTTGGTTAGCTCTGAGCGCTTGGCAGAGCAATCAATCTTGATGGATTAAAAGCCTAGGGACATTGTTCATAATTTACACACCACTTTAGAACAGATGAGCAGACCATTGGCAGCCGTCAGTTAATCAGTATTAGCAAGTGGAGCCCTCCTTGACCTATATGAAAAAGATAATTACGATGAAGTTCATGTTCAACTAATGCTTCGCACCGTCCTCAGCCGTACTTCAAATCTAAAAGCTGAACTAATGATTTGAGGTTTTGGGACTGCTTGAAACTTTAATTTTAATTCGAGGAATAATATGTTGTACTTCTCGCCCAAGCTTTCAAAGTAAAAAGCACCTGTCAATTTCTAAGGGATTGTTGCTTGAATTTCTATACACCGTATTGAGAAAAACTTACAAAAGTAATCGTATTCTAATTTTCTTCATTCCAGCATCAGGCTATAAAAGTGTGCACCACAATATGACATCAAAACAATGCGCACAAGCGAAATCGAGAACAGTAGAGTGGTAGATTCTAGCCATGCAATTTTTAATTGGTTCATTTAATGATTCATTGGCTCATTTTGCCTCTCAGTTCAGTCCTAAGTTTTGCGAGTCCCTCCGAGATTATGGTACAATAT